TGTGTTGTGTGTGTTGTGTGTGTTGTGTGTTGTGTGTGTTGTGTGTGTTGTGTGTGTTGTGTGTGTTGTGTGTTGTGTGTGTTGTGTGTGTTGTGTGTACTTCGTGCCGAGGCACAGTGGCGGCTCTTTGGAGCAACAGAAGTCGTGGTGCGGCCAGTGGCCTCCTTGCCGAACAAGTTGTGGCGGCATCCCTAGCGCATTCTGGGAGTGTTCGCGGTATTGCACATGATCGTTCCGTAGCTTTCTCGGTTGAATACCGTGTTCGATTTGCCACTATTGTTCCGTAGAGTAGTTGGGTACAGTATGGATTTGGAGCATTTGCGGCGAATAGGTTTGATGGGGGCAACCAGCGGGCACAAGGAAAGGTTCTTACCAGAAGCATCGATTCAGCCAGCAATGCTACGGCGGGCAGGCAATTTGCTTAAGCTTGTCGCTGGTGGCCAAACTGGTGTCGACCAGGCGGCCCTAGCAGCTGCAACTGAAGTTGGACTGGCCACTGGTGGTTGGTGTCCATTTGACTGCAGCGATGAGACTGGGCCTATTGTAGAAAAGGCAGCCGAATGGAATTTGGCACCAGTCACCGAAAATATGTGGGAGTTGTATGGTACGTGTTTTCGTCATCTTCCATTGCAGGTTGACGGCCAATGCAAGTGGGCTAGGCGTACTTTGCTGAATGCGTTGCATAGTAGTGGTACGGTGACCATCTTGCCTGAAGGAGTGGTGGACGGAACACATCTTGGCTTGGCAGTCTCAAAGGCTCTTGGCCGGCCCTATCTCACGCTCGACCTGGAAAATATTGATGCGGACACGAATGTGTGTGTTCAGTGGATTCGGGAAAATTCCATTGAGGTGCTAAATGTGAACGGACCACGCGAGTCTTCAAGTCCTGGAATTGCGGCAAGGTGTATTCCCTTTTTCAAAAAGTGTTTCTCAGTGGCGATGGTTGAAGACGGTCAGGTTGCAGCCAGCGACATCGTTATTACGGAATGCTGGGAGCGACCTCGCTTCCGCTGCGAGGAAAAGCCATCCAGCGGTTTCTCGCCATTGTTTCTCAGCGAACCGACACTTCGGACTGCAGCGGTCAATGCTGGGGACTACCGGCTATATCTGGGTGGCGGGAGCATCAACCGATCTTTCGGAGATTTGCTGAAGGAGCAGCAGGGCTTGGTGTTCGGCAAGGTCTGCGAGCACTACGCAAAGCTCCACTCGGTCCTGCTCGCAGCAAGCCGTGCTGCGCGCGGCGGAGTGGTGGCGGCGCGAGATGTCCCCGAGGCGGAGAAGCTGCTCGAGCCCCTTCACCTGTCAGCATCTGTTGGCCAGTCCGGTGATGCCCTCGTCGATGACACCATCGAGTCTGCCAGTGGCGCCGTCTTCCTGGACGTCTTCCTCGAGGCGAGGCGGCCGCTCGCGCCTGGCAATGCGGCCATGCTGTACGTCGTGGGGCCGAAGGGCGACAAGTGCAGGGGTCCGAGGGGCCCGGGTGCGGGGCCGCTGCTCCCCAGGGGCGATTTCCTGGCATCCGTCGAGAGGCTTGGGAAGAGGGCTCTCGAGCTGGTGGGTGCGTACAATCGCGCTGGTGACGGCGCTCGAATCGAGGAGGTCCGATGGTGTCTCGTCAGCGGTGGCGTCTACTGCCACGGAGATGTTTCGAAGCTCGAGGTGGCCTCGGCGACGCTCCGGGGCATGCTGTCTGCTAAGGGCGCCAGGAGTCTCACCGTCACCTTCGCATATGATGATGACGTCTTTCGCCAGGCCTGCGAGCTGTGCTAATTCTAGACGATTCGCGCGTCCCCACCTGACCATCCTGCGACAAACGTCCCGGTCCCCACCTGACCATCGTGGTTTCAACGTGTACGTGCCTTGCTCGGTGTGGTCTTGTCTCGTCTGCTCGCGCATGGTCTGATCAGGTCTTGGCGTTGATTTGCATCGCTTCATATCGCGTTGCCTTGCTTTGCAGCGCCTTCTATTGTTTTGCATTGATGTGCATTGGTTTGCATTGCTTTGCATCGCTCTGCACCGCGTGGATTCTCCTTTCTCTACCCCCCCCCGGAGTTATCCGCCCCCCTTTCGGGTATTATGTAAATCGTATATGATTATGACCACATGTCCATCCGAAATATGAATTTACACTATCCCAAGACTTCTCACGAATCCCTTGCAACAAATAGGACGAAGTGCACACGCGCGCGTCGTCGCGCGCGCATGCCGAAATCCTTCAAAAACCTTCGGCGTCGGAAGGATTTCGCAATCGAGTCTCCAAAAAATATACAAACACACAAGGTTTCGCAACACTGATGTGCTAAAAAAGCTTACGCGCGAGCTCTTGCGAAATCTTAAGAAAACCATCGGTTGTTCAAGATGTTCACAAAATGCTACCAACCGGCGTTGCGCGCGCGCATGTCGAAATCTGTCGAACGCCCTTGCGCTTGTGCCGTCGCGAGAATCCTCTGCAAAAAATGGGACGAGCGCAGACGCGCGCGTCGTCGCGCGCGTATGCCGAAATCCTTCAAAACCCATCGGTGTCGGGAGGATTTCAAGATCGTGTGTCCAAAAACCCTGCAAACACACACAAGGTTTCGCAACACGGGTTTTCAATAAAAGCGTGCGCGCGCGCTTTTGCGTCGTCGTCGTCGTCGCCGTCCTCCCTCCTCCCGCGTCGTTGTCGTCGTCGTCGTCGCCTACGTCGTCCTCTGTCTTTCCTCGTGTTCGTCGTCGTCGTCCTCTTTGGCGTCGTTGTCGTTTCCGTCGTCGTTGTCGCCGTGGTCGTCCTTCCTCCTCCTCCCTCGTCGTCGTCGTCGTCCGTCGTCGGCGTCTCGTCGTCGTCCTTCCTATTTCGTCGCCGTCGTCGTCGTCGCCGTCGCCGTCGTCGTCTTCCCTCCTCCCTCATCGTTGTCGTCGTCGGCGCCGCCGTCCTTCCTCCTTCGTCGTTCGCATCGTCGCCGTCCTCCCTCCTCCGGCGTTGTCGTCGTTGTCGTCGTTGTCGCCGTCGTCGTCCTCCCTCCTCCCTCGTCGTCGTCTTCGTTGGCGACGTCGTCGTCGTCTTCGTCGTCGTCGTCGGCGTCGTCGTCGTCTTCGTCGTCGTCGACGTCTCCCCGTCGTCGCCGCCGCCGTCGTCGTCGTCGACGTCGGCGTCGTTGACGTCGTCGTCGTCGGTGTCGTCGTTGTCGTCGTTGTCGGCGTCGTCATCGTCGTCGTTGACGTCGTCGTCGGCGTCGGCGTCGGCGTCGTCGTCTGTGTCGTCGTCGTCGTCGAAGTCGTTGGAGACGTCGTCGGTGTCGTCGTAGTCGTTGTCGGCGGCGTCGTCGTCGTCGTTGTCGCTGTCGTCGTCGGCGTCGCTGTCGTTGCCAAATGCCATTTGGTACCCACCGTCACGGGCTTAAGAGATCTTGCAAACCAAGTTGCGGGTGGGTGGGTGGGATGATTGCGCGAGCAGTGGAGGTGGTCAAGCGCGGTGCAGGGTAGTCAATTTCACCACATAAGTTGCACCACCTAGATTGCACCGCATAGAGCACTTCAGCTCGCACACAGGGTATACAGGCATGCATACAAACTAAGGGTTCGCCCATCGCACGTTTGCAAAGATGTGCACAGTCATGATCTGCACTTGGCTGCTGCGTGAAAGGCTCAGGGCGGCATACTAGATGTAGCATGCTACAGCATGTCAGCTGTCTCTGGTCTACGCTTGGGCAGGTTAAATCGGCAATCATGGAACTTGACAGCGAAGATGTCAACGATGCGTTCGTCAAGGCCGTTCGCGCTGCCCGAAATTGCGGATATGTGGCAGGTGGGTGGGTTACTCTTCCTGCGGATCCACCAGAGCGTCGCATTGATGGTGGGCATGAACCTTTGGACGAGGAGGCCTTCATGGCACGCTACGGATACGCAAACTATTATGCTCATTGGAGTGCGGCGCCATTAGTTGAGGAAACAGTTACTGGATTCAGGCTTGCCCTTCAAAGTTTGGGTATTACGGGGCCTGCGTACCCACAGGTGAAGTGCGATTCTTTGTCTAAAGCGCGGAGCATTCTTGTGGCAGCAGTGGCTAACGGTATGGCTTATGGGGAGAAGTTCCTGTCCGACGAGGAAGCTGGCCAGTGGGTGGATCAGTTTCTTGCGCCTGCATGTCAAGCTGGTGCAGATGTCGAGCTCTGGACGGGTAATGCCGACGGGGTGGCAACGATTAACACCGGCATCGTGTTTGTCTTGGGTACAGATGAAGGTGAGCGTAGTGTTGGCATGTTGTGGTTAGGCGATGAAGATTGAAAATCAGCGTTCCGACGGCAGGTGACTACAGAGGCGCTCTTCCTGTCTGGTATTTGTTGGCCCTTGCCGGCGCTTACAAGCTTGAGTTAGGATGGTTGCCTCGGACTACAAAGGAACCTCGACAGGAATGAGGCTCCCGCTCGAGATGTTCTGAAGATTCAGACTCCCAGATGTCATCGAACTTGTGGTTTTAAGGGCAATCCCGATGGCCCCCTCGGATAAATAGCGTGAAGCGGGGGGCCCGTGAGGAGGGGCTCCCACTCCAGAATTTCCTCGTGATTCACGGGCGAGCACCCGGGCCATCCTCTTGCAATGTAGGAACGAGGCTTCCATTCGAGGCTTCTTCGGGGTGCAGGATCCCGTTCTCCCGATGGCGGCCTCGGATTACCATCACGAGGCGGGGACCCCACAGGGAGGGGGTCCCTGCTCGAGACTTCCTCGCGGTTCTTCCGCTCTTCAGGCTCACGCCTGAGATATCAGGTTTGCTCAGAACGGAGGCTCCCGCTCGAGACGTTCTCTGGATGCAGGCTCCCAGGTGTCATCAAACATGTGTTTTTACATGGTATTCCGATGGCCGCCCCGGATTACCAACAGAAGGTGGGGACCACACAGGGGGGGGGGGGCGCACGAGACGTCCTCCCACAGACGAGGGAGCGCCCGAGACATCCTTCCAGTTTACTCAGGAACGAGGCTCCCGCTCAAGACTTTCTGGGGATTCATGCTCCCAGATGTCACCAAACATGTGTGCTCGGATTACCAAAGTGAAGTGGGGACCCCATGCGGAGGGGCTCCCGTTCGAGAATCTCTTGGAACTCACTCACAGACGAGGCTCCCGCCCGAGACATCTTTTGTGCCTGCTCAGGAGCGAGGCTCCCGGCTGTTTGCCCGAAACCTGTGTTTTTACATGGTATTTCGATGATTGCCTCGGATTGCCAGCATGATTTGCGCGCCCCATCGGGAGAGCGTTCCGGCTCGAGATCTCCTCGCAATTCATTCACCGACGAGACTCCCGCTCGAGACTTCCTCAGGATTCTGGCTCCCAGATCTCACCAAACCTGTGTGTGTGTTGCACGGTATTCCGACGACCGCCTCAGATTACAAACAAGGTATGCGCGCCCTACATATCCTCGCAATTCACCCGCCAACGAGGTCATGATGGCGGGCAGTTGTGTTGGAATGGTGATAGTGATGATGGTGGTGGATGGCGCATGGTCATGATTGGATGGTGATAGTGATGATGATGGTGAGTGTGTGATAGTGTCGATGATGGTGAATGGGTACTGTCGGATGTGGATAGTGGTTATGGCCGTGAATGGTCACAGAGGATGATGATGATGATGATGATGATGATGATGATGATGATGCTAATGATGATGATGATGCTGATGATGATGATGATGATGATGATGAGACTGATACTGATACTGATACTGATACTGATACTGATACTGATGGTATTGGTGATACTGATGATGATGATACTGATGATGCGAATGATGATGCTAATGATGATGGTGGATCGTCATGGTGGGATATTGATGATAGTTCTGGTTCTTGTTGAAAACGACGTGTATTGTTTGACCTTTTGTGCACTTACACAAACAAAAAAAAACACAAACATAACAATAATAAACGACGGTCCTTAGCCCCCTCGTTGTGGATCACGTCGGGCGTTTGTTTGGTGTCTGGTCGAAGGTTGCTCCTTGTCTTCCCTGCTGTGCTGACTCCCACGTGTCGTTTCTGCCGCCGTTCTCCCCGTCCTGGGCGCTGTGTGGTTCGCTGCAGGGGCTTTTTTCAGGTGCTGCGCGTCCGGCGCCTCTTGCTCCTTCTTGTCCTCCTCGTTCTCCTCTGTTGCTGTGTTTTTTTGCTCCTCCTTCCCTCCCCACCCCCTCTCTTCCTTCCTCCCCCGTCCCCTCCCCCCTCGTCTTCCTGCTCTTTCTTTACGTTCCACTCCCTCGCGGAGCTACGAACGCATGCGAACAAAACACTGCCCACCAGTCCAGCACTGGCCCGGAGCAGGCCCCGGAGGCGCCATGGCCCCAGGAGAGGCTTCTCGGCCCTCGGGCCCGGAGGCCCGACACGCCCCAGGAGTGGCTCTGAGGAGGGCGAGCAAAAAACGACGCGAAGATCTCTGAGGATCGGCGGGTTTGGAGGATCGGATCGGGACAAAAAACGACGACAAAATCCGATCGGGATCTCTGAGCATAAAACGACGACAAAATCGGATCGGGATAACTCGAGATCTCTGAGAATCGGCGGGTTTGGAGGATGTATTGGGCGCCGCGGCCGCTCCAGAGCGTTCCGGAACGCTCTGAGAGCGCTCCGGAACGCTCTGGAGCGATTTATCCTGATCCTAGCCCTGGTTTAGAGCAGTCGGACCGAGAGAGCCAGATGTCGCAGGCCCAGAGGTGGACACCAACACCAATATCGGCGGTGTGCCTCCACCGAGGGAAGAAGATCCCGATCTCGGTGATGGTGGTAATATTCAGACTTTCCAGGTGACGGGAATATTACCACCAACACCGAGATCTAGGATCATCTCACCCCTGTGGAGGCAACCCTCAATGTTGGTGTTGGTGCCCACTTCAAGGCCTCCAAAGATGGCTGTGGACTGCATGCCAGGAGAAGGAAGTGAGGACGTCGTAGACGGCAATATTAAACAAGGCAGCCAACTGTCACGAGAACGCCTGAAAATCGTGGGCAAAAAACAGAAGTTCGATGAATCGTTACTCTGTTTTAGTGTACAGTGAAAAACCAACATAGTTCTTAGTTTCTTTGCTGGGACCTCAAACGCTTCCGAAAAGTGCTGTCCAACACGCCGCTTGAAAAAAATATGAACAGAGCCCTGGGCGTATCTAAAATTAACCAAGGTGATACTGATGATGACGGTCGTGCGGGAACTGGTGGAGGAGGTTGTTCCTTTCTCTCTCTCTCTCTCTCTCTCTCTCTCTCTCCTGCGCGGGGGGGTGCAGAGAAAACAAGACCCTCCCTTGGGATGTGGGGAATACGAGGGGGGGAACGGGACCAGAGGCCCTCTGGCTGGTGCCCCGACACGCACCTGGGGGATCCGGGGGGGGCGCCCAGACCAGGACCCCGACTGCAAGGTCGCGCCCCCGGCACCCCCAGCTCGTTCCTAGACGGCCTGCGAGCCCGGATGGCGGCCAGAGTGAACCCAAACACCGTTGAGGCTCCAAGAAGGCCGAAGAGGTTCGAGTCCATGAGAGCTCCCACGAGGCTCGTGGAAGGCCAAATCTTCTGGCTCCCAAGATCGGCCTCGTACGGCCTCGCGAGTCCCCAGCTGGCCCAAAATGTGCCCAAGAGGGGCCCAAAACGGATCAAGAGGGCCCCATTACGGCCCAAGAGAGTGCCCCCAAGAGATTCTGGAGACGGCCTCGGGGGCCCCAGAGACCCCCAAGAAGGAACAAGAGGGATCCCCGAGGAGCCCCAGCAGGGCCAAGAGATTCCATCGTAGTTGAGTGAAGTTTCCACTGGTCATCGCCCACGCGTGCGTTGCGCTTCCCGTCGGCTGCCAAGGGACTATAGGGGCAGAGTGCGTTTCGGCGGCTGGTGTAGACGGAGAGCGGAGGGTGCGGCTTTTCTGGCAAGCACGTGGTCGAGGAGGCCGCCGCGCGGCGGCGGAGGTGGAGGTTGGGAGGGGGAAGGGTGGAAGGGGGAGGAAGAGGGAGGAGGAGGAGGAGGAGAAAAAGGAGGGGGAGGGGAGGAGGAGAGGAGAGGAGGAGAGGAGGAGGAGAGGAGGAGGAGGAGGAGGAGGAGAGAGGGCCTCCTAAGTGGGCCTCCTAGACGAGGAGGGGAGAGAGGAGGGAGAGGAGAGGAGGAGAGAAGAGGAGGAGAGGCGAGAGGAGGAGAGGAGAGGAGAGAGAGGAGAGAGGAATTTGAGGGGGGGAGGATAAGGAGGAGGAGGAGAAAGGAAAGGAGGAGGAAGATGGGGGAGAGTAGGAAGAGGAGGAGGAGGAGGAGGAGGAAGGGAGGAGGAGGAGGAGGAGGAGGAAAAGGAGGAGAGGAGGATGAGGAAGAGGAGGAGGAGGGAGATAGGGGGCATCGGAAAAGCAAAGAGGGGATCTGCTCAGTGGGAGGGGGGGGGGGAAGGGTGGCGGGGGAGGAGGGGAGGAGGAGGAGAGGGAGAAGGGGGGGAGGAGGAGGAGGAGGAGGAGGAGGAAAAGGAGGAGGAGGAGGAGGAGGAGGAGGAGGGGGAGGGGCAAGCTAGGTGCGCTCGCGTCATATCTGACATCCTACCCCTCCCTCCCATCCTTTACCATGGCGCAGATCCCCTCTCTTCTCGCGCAGTCGGATGTCAAGCAGGGCGATGATCCCGAAAGGGCACGCGATGCATTGTAGAGCACGGTATGGCATGGCGTAGAAGAGCACCGCGAAGCGTAGTATCAACCTGACATTGCATTGCATGCCGTGGCATGGCACGGGAAATGACGCCAGCGCTGCAGCGGGAGCACGAGTCGAAACAAGCGGAAGCGCGGAAATGAGGCCAGCGCTGCAGCGGGAGCACGATTCGGAACGAGCGGAAGCACTGAAATGAGGCCAGCGCTGCAGCGAGAGCCCCATTCGGAACGAGCGGGCCCGAAATTGAGGCCGGCGCTTCAGCGAGAGCAGCATTTTGGGAAAAAAATGCAAGCGAAAACCTAACTCCGGGGAAGGCGCCGCCTCGGAACTCGATTTTCCGGCGCCGGCCGGAACCGGCTCCGGACCCGGCCGGGGCGCCGGCCCGGGCGCCGGCTCGGGCGTCCGGCCCGGGCCGGAAGAAGAAATTCAGCATTTTCAAAAAAAAATGTGAATTAGGATAGCCTTTTTTCGGCGCCGCTTCGTTCCGGCGCCGGCCGGAACCGGCTCCGGACCCGGCCCGGGCGCCGACCCGGGCGCCGGCTCGGGCGTGCAGCCCGGGCGCCGGCGGAAATGATGCCAGCGCTGCAGCGGGAGCACGATTCGGAACGAGCGGGCCCCGAAAATGAGGCCCGCGCCTCAGCGAG